ACTTGAAGGCACACAACGACAATAACAATGACAACATCAACATGAAAAGTGCTTACTGGAAACAAAACCTGCTGGCACAGCTCACAACAGCAATAGCAACAACATCGATGTGGAAAAACCCCAGCAAAGAAGAAGGGAAGTGCAGACTATCTCAGGCATGGCATAACACTGAGGAAGTTATGCAGTCCCTTGTGGAATGCGGACATTGGAAACTGTTCAGTCATATTTCCCACTTATGAAGATGCAAGTCCCCAAATGAATTCTGGCCAACATTTCTTATACAGAAAATGCTTTTCTGTGAACACACAAAAATGTGCAACTTTTGCACAGAATGCATCCTGACCTGCAAGGATTTTAATAAGACCAGGATTCTCCATTTTCCTGGCATTCAAGAAATGTGTTTTTGACCATTTCCCCAATATTTTCAAATATTCTTTTCACCTGTAGTACAAGGATTTCTACAGATCACGCCGGTTATATTTAGGAAACAAACAGCAGTTCTTATTCTGGTATCCATTCGGTACCTGATATTGTTTTGAGGAAAATATGGTTGTCACTTCAAACAGTGTAACATCAAACCATCCACCACTTGTGAAGATGCACAGAGAAAAAGATTGGTGGAAAATAAAGCCTTTTCACATTTATTCTGACAGCTTGCTGTATAACTTCCAAAGGTGCCTTGGTAAAGCTTTGAGGGCATTACAACTGGGTTTGTTCCATCACAAAATCTAGAATTTGGCAGACAGTTTTCAGATCTTTGTGCTATGGTTCATAAGAAAGGTGCTGTCGGTGGATGGCTGGAAGTCATTTTGGAAAATAGTTTCCAGAGTTATGTCAAACCTCTCTTATTATATCTACCCCATATTTTAAAAAAATTAACACTTTTCTTAGGCTGCATCCACACTGCAGAAATAATCCAGTTTGATGCCATTTTAAAAGCCATGGCTCAATGCTATGGAATTCTGTGAATTGTAGTTTGTTGTGGCACCAGTTTGTTGTGGCTCTCTGACATGTCTTACAATACTTTGATGTTGTGTGCCTTCAAGTCATTTCAGACTTATGGCTACCCTAAAGTGAACCTATCATGGGTTTTCTTGGCAAGATTGGTTCAGAAGGGGTTTGCCATTGCCATCCTCCGAGGCTGAAAGCATGTGAATTGCCCAAGGTCACCCAATGGGTTTCCATGGCTGACCTGGGATTCAAACACGGTTCTCCAGAGTCCTAGTCCAACGCTGAAAGCACTACCCCACGCTGGCTCTCCTTACAATACTACACTTCCCAGAATTCCATAGCACTGAACCATGGCAGCTAAAGGAGCCCTGGTGGCGCAGTGATTAAATGGCTGTACTACAGCCACTCATTCACAAACCACAAGGTTGCGAGTTCAATACCAGCCAGGACTCAGGGGGCAATTAGCTTACAGTTGTAAAGCACTTAGAGACTGCATAGCCTGGTATCAAGCGGTATATAAATGAAGCTGCTATTGCTATTACTAAAGTGGTGTCAAACTGGATTATTTCTGCAGTGCAGATGCAACCTAAGATGCCATCCACATGCAACCTGACTATAGTTGGCTAACAGAGGTACAGGATCGACCCTCTTTGCTTTCCGCAGCATGTGAGAACTGGCCTCTTGACCCAATTGACAGGATACACCAAAGCAGAGTACAGTCGGACCTCCGTTTTTGTAGGGGATCCGTTCCAGACCCCCCCCCCCAAAAAAACCGAAACTCGCCAATATTCAAGTCCCATAGGCTTGAATGGGGTGCGCCCCTGTGGGCACGCACAAACACACATCAACAGGGACGCAGCCATTTGATTTTAATGGAGGTTGCCTCTCTGTGAATATTCAAAACTCTGGACCTCAAGTCCATGAGAACGGAGGGGTGGCTGTTCATCCTTCTCCTCCGTCTTTCGCCGCATCGTGCTGGTTGTTACCAAAAGTGTTATCTCTATATACTTTGCATTCTGTACTGTCCCAGCTAGAGGACGACGGGGTGTGTTTGTGGCTTGCAGGGTCCTCGGCATCTTATTCCATAAAGGACGAGGCTTCCAAAAGAGTTCAGCAGCACCTGGCAAATCCAATTTAAGAAAGCAGAATCAAATGTAGAATTTGGAACAACGTTGTTCAGGATGGCATGGTGCCCGCCATGGGTAAAAAGCTTAGCAGCGTTGGCAAGAAATACAATCCAGGAAGGAAATGTGGCATCCATCGATGTGAAGCAACACGTTCAGGCACAAGTGACTCAGTTCCTTTGTGTTCATTTTTTTGGGTTTTTACAGCTGCTGTTTGGGATCCAGCTGTTCACAATAGGATTCAAAGGCTGTTGGAGGGCAGGTATATGGCTGCACCGGAGCACGGATGTGGGTGGGTTATGGCAACCTTTCCCCGCCTCCCTCCTGCTTGTGCCAAGATTAAAAAGTGGACTTAGGAGCCATTAGAAGGATCGAAAGGAGGAAATGGTGGTCAGAAATAAACATATAGGAAGCTGACCCAATCCGTTGCAGTTTGAAAGGGAGAAATCCACAAGGCTGCATCTGGGATTCCCAGCTCCCATCATCCCCTCTCTCCGTATTCTTAAGATACCCCGCCAATCCAGCTCCCCCAAAATGAGGGCGCCCAGAGCCCCAATCTCAGTGAACTTGGAAAAGACCGAAGTAGGTGAGGTAGCGTTCAGCTTTCAGTCGGACCTTGGGGATTGTCCGGAGCCGGATGGACTCTCCGGGTGTGAGCAGGACCAGGCCGGAGACTTGGCACACCTTCAGTTCAGGCTCCTGGGGGCCAGAGCTGGTCGGGGGGAACTGTTCCAAGCACCGCAAGGCTAGCTCCCCATCAAGCATCACATCCAGCTTCATATAGATGGTCTTCCCTTCATTGAAATGGACCTGGGGGAAGGAGAAAACAGCAATGCGGACAACACAAGTACACAACTCAAGGTGGGACCACACAGGTGTCTGCATATCACAGCTTGGAAAGGTTACTTTGGAGGGATTGCCAACTCCAGAATCCTCCCAGCATCCCCCTGACAGCATGGCTGCTGAGGAATTCTGGGCATTGGTCATCCAAAACTGTAACTTTTCTGAGCTCTAGATTCAGACATGGGTTGGACAAATTCGGGCTGCATTTGTCCTGCAGAAATAATGCAGTTTGACATTGCTTTAATTCCCACGGCTCCATGATATGGAATCCTGGGATTTGTAGTTTGTTGTGGCACCAGAGCTCTCCGAGGAGAGAGGAGGCTAAATAGGTCACAAAACTACAGATCCCAGAATTGTATCACACTGCACTGTGGCAGTTAAAGTGGTGTCAGACTGCATTATTTCTGCCTTAGAGACGAAGCAAGGGAGGAAGAGTGAGTCATCAGCCTAGCCAATTATCCAGATAGTCTGGGGATTATGGGAGGGGTAGTTGCCCTTCTTTCATCTCTTTGACTATGTGGAGGGAAGTAGTGTTGAGGAGGGAGTACAGGAAGGGCAATGAGAAATCTCTAAATTTAAGTTATCGGCCACAGGGCTGAGCAAAGTCTGGCCAGAGGCTGCACAGAGCCCTTGGAGACTCCAAAGTGTGGCCCCTGAAGACTCCTGAAGACCTTCCCCAAATGTTATTTTAAATTTTAGACCACGTTCTGGGTGCTTTTGCATCCCAAAACTAGCCAGGTGCACCCAAAACCAGTTTTCCTCCAGTTCCTACATGGGAAACAGTTATTCAAATGTGTTAAGCCACTAGGAGGAAAAAGACCCTCTTCCTCGTAAAGCAAAGTAGGGAAATTGTGGCGGCCAGGTGGCCCCAAGGGCCATTTTCGGGACCCCACGAGTCCTCAGGTGGTTCCTGTTATTCTGTGCTTTCAACTCATTTCTGACCCACAGCCACCCTATCATGAGGTGTTTGGGTTTGCTTTTTTTGGCAAGATTTATTCAGAGGGGGTTCACCATGGCGTTCCTCTGAGGCCGAGAGAGAACGACTTGCCCAAGGTCACCCAGTGAGTTTTCACGGCCGAGCTGGGAATCGAACCCTGATCTCCAGAATCCCAGCACAGCACACAAACCAAGACACCACACTGGCTCTTGAAACACTGTGCCCTCTGAGGCTCGAACTCGGGACCTTCAGATTATGACACTGAAACACTGCCTTCTGCTCTAAGAAGGCACCAGTCCACAGGAACCAATTTTGGTACATCCCCCTCTCCCTGACCATTTTTCAGTCCAGGAGAAGCCTAAAAGTGACTTCTGGGTCAATTTCTGTTAGAACTAAAGGCTTTCCCTGGCCCTACAATGCCCAGAGGGGACCAAACCATATTAAAATTGCCCCACACACCTCATAGGAGGTGCTAAGGGCAGAAAAATATCTTTTTTTTCTTCTTCAGGAGGTGGGGATGTGATTCCCGAACCCCTGACAGTTACCCACCCTTCTTAAATGAGTCCAGAATCCAGATTCCCAGGATTCCATGCTCTTTTGTCTACCCATAAACCCCCATCCCTGCCCCAAACACCTCCAAAGCCGCCCCACCCTCCGTTAGCCCCCTCACCTGACAATACAGGTAATAGAGCCCTCTCTTGACCACAGTGAACTCCCGTCGGCTTCGGTCGTAACGGAGGGGGCTTGTTGTGTTGAGTTTGGCTTCTGCCCACCCGTGGATGGTCCCGTTTGCATCTGGAGGAATGGGTGGCAAGAAGTGGGCAAGTGAATGACTGGC